TAAAAGGCCAGGTTTCAGAGTTAGTGAGGTGTTTGAAAGGGGTGGAATCTAGCAAATTAGACATATTTTGGATACCCTTAAAGGAACACTATAGTCACCTAAATTACTTTAGCTAAATAAAGCAGTTTTAGTTTATAGATCATTCCCCTGCAATTTCACTGCTCAATTCACTGTCATTTAGGAGTTAAATCACTTTGTTTCTGTTTATGCAGCCCTAGCCACATTTTCCCTGGCTATGATTGACATAGCCTCCATTAAAAAAAAACTTGTTTCACTTTCAAACAGATGTAACTTACCTTAAATAATTGTATCTCAATTTCTAAATTGAGGAGGCTCTTGCAGGGTCAAGCAAGCTATTAACATAGCAGGGGATAAGAAAATCTTAATTAAACAGAACTTGCAATAAAAAAAGCCTAAATATGGCTCTCTTTACAGGAAGTGTTTATGGAAGGCTGTGCAAGTCACATGCAGGGAGGTGTGACTAGGGTTCATAAACAAAGGGATTTAACTCCTAAATGGCAGAGGATTGAGCAGCGAGGCTGAAGGGGCATGTTCTATACACCAAAACTGCTTCATTAAGCTAAAGTTGTTCAGGTGACTATAGTGTCCCTTTAAGTATAGTCTGATTGGACAGGATGAAAGGAAACTGGCTTTGTTGGAAAGTAGAGAAACATGTGATGTTGGATGCCAGTCAGGTGTAACTTGATGGTATAGGGAAAAATAATTTGGTATATAATATACATATACCTCAAGTGGAGCGCTATGAGTGTTGAGGGATTACCTCATGAGAACTTGATTGAATCGTATACGTCTGATACAGATATAAAAGATAAAAAATATAAAAAATATAATATAGTGCAGATTGTAAAGTACTGTGCAAATTAGGTGAAGTAGATAAATGGATCACTCACATTTTAAGAGCCTATATAATTGGTTCTATAAACAGGACTGGTATGCCTTTTAGGGCAGCATCCCACCACTATTTCCTGCTGGAATTTTTCCTCTGGGAAAATAAAAACAATAGGAACATCCAATGTGTAGTATAATTATTTCAGAGGTACCTTGGATAAAATGTGAATAGGTATTAAGCTCACCTTTTTCAGAACCTTGAGGTTCTGGCTCTGAGGGTAGTAAGCTTTGTGCCACTGTAAGGGGGATGGCACTTTCCCCAATGAAGGTACTTGAAGCTTCAATGGACATATCAAACAGATGCTCAATCAGGTTGAGATCTGGGGAATTGAATAGTGTTTGACAGCTGCTTCTCAGAGTCTGCTGTAGGGAAACAGTTTTCTAATAACCACAATTCGTCTGGTAATCAGTCAAGATTTATTGATCACGAGTCACATATTACACATGATTGATCTCTTTGTTGATTAACACATTCCTCCTGTATAACCCACCTAACATGGCTGAACTCCACGCAGACACTGGGAAGAGAGAGACTTTGTGAGGGGTTCGAAAGTGGCGGAATGTAGCATATTAGACATATTTTGGATACCCTTAAGTATAGTCTGATTGGATAGGATGAAAGGAAGGTGTGGCTTTGTTGGAAAGTAGAGAAACGTGATGTTTGATGCCAGGCGTAACTTGATGATATAGTGAGCCTAAATTGAAGGTGGCAAAAAGTTAGCAAACACAACCAGAGACATAATAACCAACATTACGTAATGATGGACCACTTACCTGTGACATGAATAGTGATGGAAAGATTTGGTGACAGCAATTGCTGGGAGACCACTAAGGGCACAACTTGAAATACCTTAGAACCTGGAGGAGTAATACTGTGTACATTGAAATAGCGGAATCTGCCAGACACGTCAGCCGTACGAGGGCTAAGGAAATAGTTGTAAACATGTAAGTGGCAACCAATATATACCTTGCACACAATTGAGGGGTAACACAAGCAACTTAGACTAAACCAGGTGGCATGAATATGAAAATACCAGCATATGACATCAAACTTAAATTACTAGCATTAAGGCATATAGCAAATGTAAAATGTAATTTTTGAGAATTGGGGTTAATGTAGAATCTTCTTAATTTCTTCTTGTCTTCAGTTGATTGATATATATACGTCTTTTGTATATATATTCTTGGGCCAAATGCTCGCCACAATAATATATGTCTATATTATTGAAAAGTAGTAATACGCAATCTGACTTACAATTTCTTCAGGTTTATTCTTAGTTACAGATACATAATAAAACATAATAAAGGATGTTACAAGATTATGGACATTCAACAGCAGATGGTAATTGCTGTACTTCTGATGGGAGAGTTACATCGTTGTACAGAGCCAAGAGCCAAGCCAAGACAGAGAGCGACCTCGTGTCCCTCTGTTACTATAAAGATGTGCTAATACTAACGTCAGCATTTAACTCTAGCCATATAAGGAAAAGACCCCTGAATCCACATTCCAGATCTCTCGGACAAAGAAAGCCTTGTGACTTATTGATACCATCTGTTACTTATGTCAATCCACACATCCATATATATAATCAATAGAAACATAGAATATGCAATATTCTACATTCCCTCTGTTTATGGTTTGTTTTAAAACCATAACACAATGTCACTAACCTGTCCATTCATACATCACTTGTATCACATTCATTGAGCATAGAACAAGATGTAGTCACAACTTTCTATTATATGAGAGTTCTTAGACGGTCGAGTTTCCATCCCTCATACTGCTTACTTTACTTCAAAACTCCCTCTGTTTCAGCTATGTATTGATATCCATATCCATGTTACATCATAACTACTTGAACATAATATATACATATATATAACAATAATAAATGAATAAAATATTTACAAATGTTGATCCAATAAACAATAAAACAATCAGAAAGATCTACCTGCTCTGGTACAGTCGTATCTTTGTAGATAACAAAATCAAGATGATAACTTTCTAAATAATAACTGTGTATCACTATAATACTCCTACAGACACATATAGTATAGTATTTTCATTCTCAATACCTGATATTATTTAAGTACTAATATGTGTATTACTATAATATCCTGTCCAATTAGATTTCCATGAATCATATGGTTTCTAGCAACCTTATAATCTTTAGGTCATTTGTATTCATGAATTACATTCCTATACCATTAATACCACCTAGTGATGATTGCATCAGTAGGCTCTCACTACCTAAAATATACCAACACTACTTATAAGACTCATTCAAAGGATGTGTTATCAACTATGAAGTTCTAAAATAATTCTTCAAATAATGTTCATGGTGTTGACAATACTTATTGTCCTAGAAATTCTCCACACAGAATTCTTTCTATTATAAATTTGTTTTTGTTGACATAATTATAATTTTCACTAAAATTCCACCTTGTAGTAACAAACATTTCATTCAACAGAAACATGGTTTACTTTAAAAGAACTTGGAAAGAATACTTTAAATTCATTAGCATCACTCTCTTCATTAGCATTGTGATGACTTATTAATGTAATACATCTTAAAAGCAGGATTGTCCTAATGTTCTGACCAATCCGTATTCCTTAGTACACTTCAACTGACTAAAATAAAATAAACAAAACTTGGGGTCATACTGCCCAGAAACTCTTATTCCTAATCTGTGTCTAACAAACTCAGGGTAATCATAAAACAACTTATAACAACTTATTCAATTCATTGGATACTTTAATATCCAGAAACCTATTGTCCTTAGTCCATACCTTTATAGACTTAGGTCAAATATAATTGTGTACTAAACTCAATTCAATTCAATTCCTCTTGGATCTCTGAACTCTTATATCCAAGGCATTCTTAATGTATATAATTACTTAATATTAATCAATATAAATTATCCTTCCCTAGTTTTCTTCCTTATGTTACCATTGTTTGTTTTACTTCACCTCGATTATAAACAAATTATTAATTATAGTTAATCTATGAAATACTATTGAACTCAATCTTTGTGTTATTAAGTAACCATGATCCTTATTTTATCAACTTCATATTTTATCTGCCTCTGATACTTCTCATTCTATGTATAGGTCATAATGTAATAGTTCTCTTCATAATACGATTCTTTCGTAATTTTACTCCATGTGTTATATAGCTATAAGTAGTCTCTTTTGGTATTAATAGTCATAACTGTTAAATAACTTTTCATTGTCTGTTTTCTTCTTCATTAATATTTAGGAATATATATGTATGTTAGTGTCAATCTTTTATTTCTTTGTAAGTCTGTTAATCTTCTGTATCACATGAACTCTGTAGAATCTTCCATCACAGTTTGCTGATCAGATGAAAAGTCTCTTTCCAACAGTCGATGTCCAGTTGTCTGAAGGAATGCTTTCCTGATTTACTGCCACAAGGATCTGTCACGCTTTACCTACATTAAAACAAACAAACATGTGCAGCATCAATACAATGGCTTACAATGTTTATATCTCATTATTATTACACAGTTTAACATTGAATTATATTTACTACACAAAACATACTCATTTCTTCTCATGAGATCTACCATCTAGTGGTCATTACATTTATGCCATGTGATGTATAATCTTTAAATTTCCTTTATATTCAAATCTTTCTGAACATTTTATTAATCATACCCCCCTTTTAAACTGTTTAATAATCTGGAGGTATAACCTAATCACATATAAGATGTTACAACAAAATATTGTTTTCCACTATACTTTAGCAATAGCAGCCATCTTGTCTTAATACTGGCACCATTTTGTCAAATGAAACAAACTACAAAAAACATATATTGTTTCCTACATCAAATGTATTTGTAAATCTAAGTTTTATCCTATCAAAACTTTTGTCTTCTATGTAGTCAAAACATATGTATGTCCAGGCTTTGCAAAATATAGTAATCCATTATCAGTCATGATATTAAAATCTCATTCTCATGAATTAAACCAAAGATTTTAAATCAACCTCAGAAGTAACAAGGAATATATTCATTGTTTTTCCTTCTGTAAAATGATTGGAATTACTGTATAATCGCATACACCCAATATAACATTGCATGTTCCTAACTGCTACATTAGTGTATTTCATTCTGTCATATTTGCAAACTTGATGTAAATTTTTATTTCAATTAATTAACCTAATACTTTCTTATAACACACATAAAAACAATGAAAAAACAGTTCAGACTAACAATTCATTAAAACAAACTAACATAGATCTCTATTCTTGGCTGTTCTTAATTCTGGAATCAGCCTGTGTACATCTGTTGGAACACATATCCATGCTCATTCCCTAAACTGATCATATCTCTTGAAGTTACCTGATTCTTATAACTTTCTGTGTTACACTGCATTGCTTGTCTGTCTCCCAATTTCGATTTAGCTAAAATTGCTTTTATTTGTCTGATTATCAGTTTACAAGGAAAGGCCTTTATTGATTTATCTCCATTTTCTCTGTCAAAATTTTCAATCAACAAATTTAATTTCTCATTTGGTTTTGATTTGATATCTCGGATAAAATATCTGCAAGATCTTAAATAATGTTGTTTATTGCACCAAAAACAAATAACTTTAGGAGTTATATTCTGCCTTTGATTTGAACAAATTGGGAGGGGCTCAGCTGTCTGTATCACTATTTTACACTGAGTCCACAGAGGAGGGGTGTAAAATCTGCACTTCTTTCTCTGCCTAAATCCACAAGTCGTTTTAACCCCTTCATTATTGGTTTCCCTCCTTAAGTTATCCAAGTACAAAGCTACTTCTGTCAAAGTGCTTTTTTCTCTAGCTAACACAATTGCAGTTGGATCTAGATCTTGACATTTTTTCACAAATTCATTAATTAACTGATCTTCAGAAAAATCAGCAACAAGTCTATATGCACTTTCAAATTTTACAAGAAAACTAAATATATCCTCCCCTTTGTGTGGTTTTAGTTTTTCCAACATTTCAGTGTCTGCAAAATCATTCCCTGTTGTTAATTTTATTAATTGTGTTAATCTGTCTTGCTTATTTCCATATATTATTTCATCATCTTCGTCATTAGGGGTACTAATGGGTGGAGTCAGTCTATGTGCAATGTATGTTGGCAGCCATATTTTAAATAGTCTATTCCTTTGTTCGTCATTTAGGCTGTATTTGTCTAAATTAGACTCAAACATTTCAGCATTAGTGAATGCATCCACTGACGTGTCATAAACTGGAATAGATTTCACAATTTTCATTAATTGTTCATGGATTTTCAAATTAAGTTTTGCAGCTCTGTCTTGAAATTTACATTTCTGCAAATCACTCTGTGAGGATACATTTTCAGTATCTGTTGGTTCTGGGATTAGATTCTGTGCCTGTATTTTTCTTGTATTAACACACACTATTTTAGCTTCATTTCTAAGCTGGCAAATAAGATCATTTCTTAGTTCAACACTATCCTCTAATTCACAGACTTTTTCTGACAATGTTCTCTCTGTTACATTGTTACACTGTTCATTTAAATCTGATTTGTCTTCTGTTAACCCATACAAATCTACTTCATCTGCTGATTCTAAATTGTCTTGACCTGCATTACATTTACAAATCAATGCATTGTAAGTACAGACTAGTTTCATAACATTTCTGATCTTTTGTTTTTTCTTATTAACAAACAATTTCTTGTCAATTTCACTATTGGCAATTTCACATTGTGTGTATAAAGATTGCCACAATACAGCATCTGAATAGCTGCTATTAAATGCAAACTGCAATTTACTTTTCTCTGCAATATCATTTATGAATTCCATGTTACTCACCAGATCAGTTATTTCTGTCTATTTCGTTGCTTCATCCACACAGCTGCGCAGATCTGCTTGGAGCTGGATGATTGCCAATGTCTGCCACGTGCTTGCTTCTAGAATTCACGTTGTATCTTGTGCTTTTTGCCTCAGTTGTAGAAAATAGTCTTGTACAGTCATTGTGATTTGAAAACTTTCTTTTTCTTACAAACACAGTCTAGATTCTTTTTTTTCTCTTCAAGTTTGTTTTCCCAGTTCCAAAATAGCTTTGTAACTCGATTCTTCTCTCTCCCCCCTTGAAGTGGGAACAAAACTTGAATAGAAGACTGGCTGGCTAGCCAATGTAAAATCCAGTTGATTGAATGGGTGTTAATGTTGAATCTTCTTAATTTCTTCTTGTCTTCAGTTGATTGATATATATACGTCTTTTGTATATATATTCTTGGGCCAAATGCTCGCCACAATAATATATGTCTATATTATTGAAAAGTAGTAATACGCAATCTGACTTACAGTTTCTTCAGGTTTATTCTTAGTTACAGATACATAATAAAACATAATAAAGGATGTTACAGGATTATGGACATTCAACAGCAGATGGTAATTGCTGTACTTCTGATGGGAGAGTTACATCGTTGTACAGAGCCAAGAGCCAAGCCAAGACAGAGAGCGACCTCGTGTCCCTCTGTTACTATAAAGATGTGCTAATACTAACGTCAGCATTTAACTCTAGCCATATAAGGAAAAGACCCCCGAATCCACATTCCAGAGCTCTCGGACAAAGAAAGCCTTGTGACTTATTGATACCATCTGTTACTTATGTCAATCCACACATCCATATATATAATCAATAGAAACATAGAATATGCAATATTCTACAGCAAAATTCTAATAATGCAGAAACTCTGGAAAGTAAGTGAATCGTGAATCTGTCACATGTATAAGCCCCTGTTGCCTGAAAATAATGGTATTGCCAGAGACGATAAGTGATTTATGTAGATAAGTGATTAATATAGTGAGCTTATAAAGGGGAAATAATAGAGTAGAAAGGATTGAGAACCGGAAGAGTATCAATACTGACGAAAACAAATAGCATAGGTAACTAGTATCAGTATCAACAAGAATATACGATAAAAAGTATCTACAAGGACCATAACGGTGAGAAGCAAACCAACAACCCCTAATTAGTATAACTAAACCAAAGTAAACCTTTGTTAGCCGATGAGACCCATGAGGGTTGTAGTTAATGTAAGTGAATGTATATACAAGTTTATATTTGTGAACCATATGTGTAGGCCCAAGTTGGGCTCAACATGATTGATCCAGTCCCAAGCAACACTTAGCCATGTAGGGGGCCAAGACATATAATAGAAGTCGATCAGTTCCAGTAAGGGGCCTAATACCGGAAGCTGAAGAAGGCATCACTGTGAAGCTACATATTAATGAAATGCTGAATATGATAGTAGTGAAATTTGCCCCGAAAGAACAAACATACAGTTAGTAGAAAACGGATTAAATCAGCCGTGGAAGGCCTGCCATGGCGACTTCTATGAGTATGAGGTAGGGCCAGCTCACTTAAAGATAACATGTTTTAATGTAATACTGATGTCGTCACAATATGTCTGATAGGTGTGGCATCGCAACTTATCTACATCCTAATTCACCTATTAGTGTAAAAACTTTCAGACAGAAAGTCGGATAGCTTGACAGAACGTAAATAGCCTGTTGGATATCTGAACATACAGGCGCACATGCTCAATATTGAATTGTGTTATGATCGTATGCGTACAGAGAACCCTGCGATGGTCAGCGTCCTGTTGATGGCATTGTTCGACAATGTGTTTTTAGTCTTTCCAGTCTCTCATTTATTTACTCCTTAGAGGACACGAGTGCTGAGAACGTTGCGTGGAGGTTGGTGTTGCTCGAGCAACTCGTGCCTACTCCAGCATCACTATTGTACGTATTGGTACGCATAAGCCTAAACAGTTCCACTTTCCCAGCCGTTGCTGGGAAAGGAACATTGCATCTGTGTAGCTCAGCCGTAATACGAGGAATGGTCCATGACCTGACAGAGCCTAATAGGTGTCACCTTTTCGTGTAGGTGTTGTGGACCAGACTGGAGTACTGGGGATTGACATGTCATCCCCTTCTTCCCGGGATCTTGAGACATACTGCAATATATGTTAAGTAACTAGCTTGGATCAGGATCGTTTTACTAGATGGCTAACTAGTGCCAAGTGGCGAAGCAATTCACTAGGTTGGTGACAGGTGAGGCCCTGGTAGTTGGCAAGTGGCTTGAGAGGCTCCATCTATGCTTTGGCGTGAGGGGATTTGTGGCCAATGAACATTGTGGCGGGGTGTTGGCCTCTCAGTGACATTTAAAAAGTGACAAGTGAGGCCCTCTCTATGCCATTATGCAAGGCAGCTAACTATGTTTTGGCCCGGGAGCGTAATACCTCATGCGCAGAGGATGAGTATTGGCCTTGCAGGGACCACTAACTCCAAAGCAGAGATGCCAGAAACTTAACATCTATTGGTCACCTAGATCCCTAAATCAGTAAAACCTATTCACTAAAAAGGCTTTTTTGTGGGGGAGCGATAGTGGCTAAAAACGTACCTGAATTCGTATAGGAGTTCATGTAGTTCTGTATGGTATGGTTGTAAACTGTAACTGAAATCTGCAGTGTCCCCTAAAGGAGGCAGAGAGGGGAGGGAGAGGTCTATGGAACCTACAGAAAGAACCATAACTGACAAATGGTTGCGAGGTCTGAAGAGCAAATAATGCACTCAATGGCGTCCTGGAAAGCCACAGGAACAAATATACGCAGACGGGAACTGTAGTGTTAAACCATGCAATAATATTTAGGGAAATCTCAAAATATGATTCAGACATGACCCATAAATATGTTTGTCAGTAACCGTATACTATGCAAAAATGCATATGTAAATAGACGGTGTAGCCCAAGGCGTATCGTCTATCGTAACTCATCTAATATGCCACATCGAAGGTAATACCTGTTTGTGGCAATGTAATATTCAGATTGAGGAAATATTATTGCTGCATAACTGTAAAATAATGATATCCATATACAAATGATAAATGTACTACCCAGAACCTAAAACAAAACATTATATTCTTAATCCAAAATCTATAAATGTTTTCACTGAAATGCCCAAACGAGGTGCCGAATTATTCTGTGGCAGGTTGCCCATTACTTGGCATATGAACACATGTTATAAAGTCATAGAGATGCCAGGAGTAGGAAATATGCGTATCCTGATTTGTATCCTGAGTTTCAGGGTGGCTGTGCGGGTTGTGTTGGGATTAATGTGGGTGAAGGTAGGACATGAATCGGAGAATGGTTGTGGAGTTTGTGTATGTAGCTAAGACATGTTGGTGATGAGATGGTAGAGAACCCAACAGTTACGAATAATCATCTAGTTTATGAAATGGTGAAAAGAACAAACTGTATGTACACACTTATAAAACATCATATAATACATACAAACCGAGCCGAATAAAACGAGGTGTTGGAAGACAGAATCAAAAACGTGAACAGACGCCTCTAGAATGCCACAGTGGCTGAACAGGCTAGCGACCGTGATGGCTGTACATACTATATATGAAAAGACAGGAGATATTAGACATTTAAATAAATATATATATATATATATATATATT